CAGCAAACGCACCGAGAAACGTTAAATCTAGCGAGTTAGAAAATCCACGAAGAGAATCGATCTTCGCGTATAGGCCCTTATGCATGCTCACTGTCGAATTAGGGGCATAAGGGCGTATACGCGATGAACGATTCTCTTCATCGATTTTCTCTTCACTCATAAAATAAATCACATAACCAGTGGAAAATATCCATGTGAATTTCACATAACTTTCATGTGATCTCGTAATTGGAAATTGCACCACTAAATCACATGAACGTTATGTGTCCAATGAAATCTATATGATTTCTCATATAGAATTTCTAATGCTATGTGATATTCAGGTAAAAATAATTGTTTTTGTTTTTGGAAAAATACTATGTGCGTTCCTAATACAAACTAAGTGAAAACTTTTTTCAGTGTTTGCCTTCCTACAGCTAACTCGGTGTTTCGTGAAAACCCATTTATGGGTAAAAAAATACCCAATTTCAAACCATGTATGCAGCTGTCAAAAAATAGGGGAATTTGGAAATCATAAAATGGGTGAAAAAATAAAATACCCATTGAAAAAACACTTGGAAATTTTATCGTCTCATTCCGTAACCGACCATTGGGAATACAAACAGTTTCTGTCCGCTCCGGAAAAGGTTAGATTCCGAAACATTGGAGAGACGGATAAGTCAATACAGTTTTATCCAATATGGTATTGGATAAAATATAATAACAATAAATAATAACAAAAAATTACATGCAAAATACTTTGTAAATAACAAACATTGATATGTGGATACCAAAAGGATACCTGTGTGGTATTGTTTTGGTATTACGTTATCATAATTTGGTATTTGAATGGTATTGTGGGAACATTTTTTTGTATTATTTTTTGGTATTTTACCTCTTATGTCAGGCTCATCCATACCAATTTAAGGTATCGAGATATTCGTTCCTGCTCGGGTAACTTTCATTTTCAGATGGGTTTGACTAGAGATGGCCTAGTATAAGAGAGGAGCGGAATGGCGGGTTTTAAACCAAACGAACTGTCAAAGCCAGAACCATTCGAGCAGCGCCGATCTTGATTACATTGGCAGTGTTGCTTGAAATCACCTAGGAATAGGTTCCAAATCTGTTTGTTTTGAATCCGCTCCTCTCTTATATTCGATCCTCTCAAGGTTTGACTCTAAAAATTGCTGTTAAAATTACTTATATCCATCGTTCCCACTTACCCCGTATTCCCACTTGCCGCGATGAACCTTAGTGAAAATATTGACTTTTTCGAATACCTTCCACATTCCATATTATGTGATTTGAAGTTCTCTATAAATTAAATTTAGATTCCATTTGATCACGTTTGGATCGCCATTTATCGGTCATATGGATTTTTTTACATTAATCAGTTAAATAATAATGCAGATGGTTAAATGCAGTCAAATCTCCATAACTCGATATTGAGTTATAGAATAATCAAAAAAAATTTTACCGTCTATAATTTCAAGAATAATACCGAAATACTGCATTCACTGGAATATCTGGCCTTATTCACTCATTGGTATTCGAAAAATGGTGCAAGAATCCGTTTATGGAAGTTCTGAGTAATTAATTTATATTATTAAGCCAATATACACAAAACACTCAATTCTCAAGATATAAAAGGTTCTGGTAATTTCTGGATTTGACATCGCCCTGAGGGTGTCCGGCCATTATGCTCAATAGTAATTAGCCCAGACTTAAATAAATGTTGACGAGGTTTCTTACACAGTTATGTTTTTAAGATTTTAAACACTTAGGGTGATACTATAAGGAAGCCTTAGCGTGAAACTTCAAAGGCACAAATGTCAGCTTCCACAATACATACAAATTTGAAATTGCTACTCTCTGTTTGTAGTAGCACAGCAAACAAGGAGTAGCAATTTCAAATTTGTATGTTTTGTGGAAGCTGATATTTATGCCTTTAAAGTTTTACGCTAAGGCTTCCTTAGAGTATCACCTAAGATGTTTGTTGTTGCTATTTGGACGTTCCAGAATCTTGAAAATTTCTCCAAATCTGGAATATTTTAAAATAAAACTACCTGTGTCATATATCCAGGATCATTACATTTTCTACACATACAATCTCAAAATTTATTAATTCATTAAATTTTTCCAAATCCTGATGGAAATCTTTACATGATTTAATCAGTATTTTCTGAAAAATTAGCTTGAACCATCTCAGGATATCCCCCGAGTTCATCTTAGATCTTTTTTCTGGAATTTGCTTTAAAATCTCTAAAATAAAGAATTAAAAAAAATTGCTTATAATTTGCTCCATAATACTCTTGAAAATCATCTGCAGAACATTTTTTGAATTAAATCTGTAATGCTCTTCAAATTATTAATAATTTATGCAGTATTACATAGGAATCTCCTGGAGATTCGTCCGGAAAATCACATGGAGTTTTCCTTAGCATTCACTTTGTAATTTCCAGAAATTTCTATGGAATTTTTCAAGGTATTCCTTATTAGTTTTTCTCAGGACTCCCATACATTCTTTGAAATTCTCACAATTCCCTTGGAACACTCCTTTGAATTCTCTTAAAAATGATCTCCGGAACATGATTGCACTTCCCTTGAAATTTTCCTTGCGCTTTCGTTGGAATCATCATCGGAAATCAATTCTCAGAGTTTAAATGAATGTCCTTTGTATTTTACTCCTTTGTCCTTTGTATTTTACTCCTTCCCTACTCAACTTTTCTTAAGAATTCGCTTGCAGTGAAGTAACCAATTTCATGGGCTTCTAATTTAAAATTATTTGGATCACAAGCCAGAATTATCATCTTTTCCGAGTTCATTTGAAGTTTTCCTGGAATTATATTCAGATATGATTGTTTTCCTCCTTTTCGCATACTCCCGAAGTATTCTCCGAAAGTTCAAATGGAATTATGTTCCGGATTATTTTCTCCCGGAAACTTCTTGAAATTATCCTAAGAGCTCCTCTGGAATTCTTTGGTGTCCTCTTCATAATTCCTTAGGAATTAACTTCAGAAATTCGGATAATTTTCATTAAAATTCCATTCGTATCCTATTCAGAGTTTTCTTGGAATTCTACTCAGAACTCTTGGTATTTAGGCTCTGGAGTTCCTCAGGACTACATTGAAAGCAGATGGCACTTGATGTTTTCCTCACAGTTCTTCCCAGAACTCTTTTGTAATGAGTTCTTTAGAAATTATCATCCAATTTCATTAGCCTTGAACATTATGTAAGGTCCTTAATCTAGATGTGTTTTGAATCCGTGATTTTTTTTAAATACTTAGGAAATAGTATCTTGAAAAATTTATTCAAGTATAATTATTATTATAAAATATATTCAAGTATAACATTTTTTCCAGAATTTCGATCAAAGGAGGCACCGACTTGCAGAAATATCGACTTATGGAGAGTAAGATACATGGGAAAATAAAGGGACCGCAGAATCCATCGAGAGTTGACAGAACCTCCTTCAAATCGTTGATATCAGTTTACTCAGTCATTTGACGAAGGCATGGATCATTTGGAAAACATTTGATATCATTCAATTAAGTGTACACTTCACATAAACGGAGCTCTGGTCGATAGGTGTATGAAATGCCTACAACAGCGAAACAAAACGAAATTTTAGCTTAAATTCTGAATAAAGTTTCACAATATGGAATTTTTCACCTTATTGTAAACATGTGTAAGACCCTATGAAGTCAAATTATTGCATAACATATTTCAAAATTTTGCGTAACGATAAATTTAATTCTGACCAATTTTTTTCTAACGATACGAAACGAAACTGAATATTGAATTTCCAGTAATAGCAATCAGAAACAGCAAATTCTGCATTCAACTGAGAGATGTGGCTCGAAATTTGTCGTATATTGAGCTTCAAAAATTCTGCTGTTTTTATAGCCAAAACCGAGGAATCAATGATATCTCCAAATGACAAATGACAAGCGATCAACGAACCGAATGATAACGCTATGTCAGAAGTAGAAAGTAATAATGATATAATATTCTTCTTCTTTTTCATGACAAGCAGCCCGTGCGACACAGCTCACTCGGGGCGGTAGAAGGAAACGATCAAATTGCTGGCAGGCTGCTTCACGAAGTAAAGCCGAAGATGAACACGTGTGTTAGTGGGATTTTTTTGCTATGTCTTTTCTCGATTCAGATAAAGCTATGTCCTCATCCATGTATATTGCAACAAAGCAGGCAAGCAATATATCATTATCCTTCTACCACTCCGATCGAGCTATGTTACAGAGCGAGTTTGTCATGGTAGTCGTAGCAACCGTTTTGTCTGTATCGTTGGTTGCTTTATGGGTTTTGATTAGCTGGCCCAAACCCAAAAGCTTTGTGAAATTCCGTACAATTCCGCATGCCGTTACTGGAGAAAAAGCTAAGTCAACTCAACACCAATCTGACATAAACTCAAAATTGACCCGACATCAATCCTAGCGTACTGGGAGGTGTGGGTTCGATTACAAGCTGTAATCGAACATATTTCGCAACATATCCTCCACTCAAAAATATGGTCGCATGATCTCGCCGGTCATAATAACGCTTTTATATTCCACGTCTATCCGACAGTTTGCTCGTACGTAGGTATACAATAAAACTTTATTAATGAAACTTCAAAATAAACCTTAATACAATTGAAGCGTAGCACACGGATTACACGTGACTGAAAAATATCTTACTGACATTTTTGTTAAATTGCCGAAACATGCGGAGAAAAAAAAACAGCAAAACGGGTTATGTAGGTAAAGAAATAAAATACTGAAAAAGACAGCAGTTCAAGGATTCTTTTTAAAATATTGTTTTAACTCATGTAATTTGGTTTGGTTTGAAATTTGTTGAGGTTAAATTTAAAATGGTAGTACCAATTTGCCACAAAATATCTTAAAGCATAGCAACCCAAATGGCGTTTTTTTGTTGGTATAATCTTCATTAAAATTTACTTAAACTGGAAATCATAAATTTGTTTACATTATTTTGCTTTATAGTATACAATATATAATTACCTGCAGGAACATCTCTCCATCTAACGGACCAGTTTCGAAGCTTCCTATTTCTCGTGTCCGATATGAATCATGAGGATGAACAGAATTACCTATGCCATTTTCTTCTTTAGATTTATGCATAACGACTGAAAAATATGGAAATAGAAAAGTAGAAGTTACTATCAATTCACTCTGTAATTAACGTTATATTTGCAAAGTTGAAGGAAATACTTTATTAATATAAACATGAGACTTAGGGTGAAATGTATTAGCTAAATGGACAAAATTGATAGCTATGTTAAGTGCCACACACAGGGTTCCTTACATTCATTTCGGCTAAAAAAATGTTTTATTAGATTATGGAATAATAAGATATTATGATAATAATTGGTTTGCGTAAGCAACAAGACAAGATTGTAAAGTTTGTGTCTGACACATAATACTTGCAAATTTAGCTTTGACAGAGCCACAATGAGTGGTTTTCTGATCGCCTTTTCGTGAAGAGTGAAGAGCGAAGAGTGGTTGAGATAAATGACAAAATCGCTTATTGCGACTCTCATGTAGCATAATTGGCAGGTATTATGTGTCAAACACAAACTTTACAATATTTTCTTGTTACTTACACAAACAAAATATTATCATAATATCTTATTATTCCATAATTTAATAAAACATTTTTTTGCCGAAATGAATGGAAGGAACCCTGGCCACACACATTAGATCCGGATCTGACGCGTAGCGGCAAAGTGACAGCTAAATCTATTGTCTAACTGTCAAATTTACGTCAACGCAACGCAAACGGAGCTAATGTGGGTGGCCCTTTAGAGTACGGCATTCTGAAAATTTGAGTAAAAGTTGAGATTGAGCGAGGGCCATTTGCTTTGTGCTGAAGGAAGTGTTACTGCTTCCTAAAGCTACAACAAATTCTCAACTTTGTTCGATTCTTATTCCTCTTCAATCCTTGTTTGGACCGTTCCGGTAATTCGGCTTGAATATCGAGTTTCAACTTTCTTTCTTTTTTCAAAATTCCTCTGCGATCTTTCGGATTCTTATAGTAATCTGCTTGGAAGTCGATTTATAGAAACTTTCTTCTGTTGCTATGCCAGAGGAAAAAAAATGGCGCCTTAACGCAATCTCTTGATTCCCTTTCTAATGAAATTAATTTGAGCAATCAATTTGATATGCCCACGGATGATGAGAATGATCCACCATCCACGCAAAATTTGACTCTCGGGACTGTCCCTTATTAATGCCAAGAAGGAAAAGCTTATCTAGATGAACCGTTGGGACGGTACTAATGGATATTTTTGTCGCTATTGAAAATTTAGTCGATTGCTGAATTTATGTATGGGCATTAAGGCCAAAATTGCATCCATTTTCCCTATCTCAGAGGAAAAATTTAACTTGATGTGGTTTTCGCACCGGCTCACTGGGAAATTGGGAATACTCCTAAACCTTAAGTGATATTTAAATTCTTAAAAGTTAGTGATGCCTCTCACCCCAAAGGGCCTGGGTTCAATCTCAGTCGGCGCCGCTGGGATTTTCTGGCATTGGTACTCAGTACGGAAAACAAGATCGACGGAAAACAAATCAAGGAAAAAAATCTTAAAAGTTCGTTTGTTCTAAATGATATCTAAAAACGCATTTTGAAAAATTGGGTGAGACTTGATCCCCTTTCGAAGACATGATTTTTTGTAAATTTTTCACACTATCTTTTTTTTAAATACGGGTTTTTTACATAATTTTCTGAAAAGTACGTTTTTTAACAATTACCATAAAACGCAGGGAATTAGGGGAGATTCAGTTTGAGTAATAATGTTTACATACATCATGGGGTAGATTGTGAAAAAATTCTAGGGAATCAGGAAAACCTGACCCAGTAACCAGAACTTATTGTTCACACTCATATCTAAGGATTAATAGTGGTAACCTCTAACCGGTATTATCCTCGGATTAAATCCCGATTACAAATGACGATCTATTTTGTTGCCGACGTAGATACTTATCATCGCGATCCCAAACATTTAGCAGATCAGGGACGGTATTACAAATAATTCGAGTTGGACTTATAAGTGTGTCTAATCCAAGGAAGATCTAGTCTTCCCTAACTGAGTCATCAACTTAAAATCAAACTGTACAAAATATAAAATATACAAATTGCTAATACTATTAATATCAAATAATACCTATTTAAAGCTTTGACCTGTGAAAAATGTATACGTTTTGGTTGAATATCAAAAAAAAAAAATCAGAAAAATCAGATTGACCGCCCACGGTTGCTGCTCTGTTATTACCAGATCAGGTGCAATTACGCAGAGAACCAACAGATGATGTTTGGGACTAACACATTCATCCTCAATGTGTAAGAACTGGAGATCTAATATTTAGCAATACCAGCGCCGGCCGTGTCCGAATGCAGGTCAACTAGGGAATGGAAAGGAATGTGTTGACGTGGTACTCGCTGTGAAGGAAACCGAGAAATCCTCTGCGCTTCCACGAGAAATCACTGGGATGTTGGATGTGGGGAAAGGTTGCACGCACACGCAGGGATCGTTTTTTGGTAGAGCGATTATAATACACAAACACACACACACACACACACGCGCGCGGACTCATCCAATTTCTATTTTTAGATCAGGACCCACACTGTGGTAAGTGATGCGATCGGTGTTAAAGAAGAATTTGTTTTCATTAAAATCTAGTGGGTATAGAATTAAGGCAAAGTGAAAAATTGCAAGAAAGGGGACGGGCCTGGGATTGAACTCCCGACCTTCTGCTCAGTAAGCAGAAACGGTAACCACTGAGCTACCGAGCCTCGTCTCGTTTTGGTTGAATATCCAAAAAGCTATTAAAAAATTCCATGCTGTCTAAAAAAGTATCAGGGAGTGAAAACATAAGAACTGCTCTCAAAAAAATATACGTCCCACAATCTGACGCTATTTTCATCATAAAATTACCTTCCGTCTAGACAACTCTATGGAAACTTTCCTGAATTTGTTTTCGAGAAAACCCCCCGATCAAGTTTTCCCTACTGATGATAGAGTTTGTTTTAGTTTTGAACAAACTATTTATAAATTTAATGAAAATTGATCTTAAGAACTCATCGTTATATGGATAATTGATAATATTTGAAAGTTTGATGGTTGAGGTTTGAAAGTTAGCTTCAGCTGATCTCTTAAAATGATGAATAAACGTCAGGGATGTTCTCAGAATTTCTTGAGACGTAGTGATTTTAATGAATAAATAATGTGCAAAAATTGAATGCTCTCATAAACTGTTTGAGTGTGTAGATACCGAGGGGTCAGGAATTTGACCTCTATAGACCGTTTTTTCCTTCCAAATGAGATCGAAAAAAAAGTTTTATTGTGAACCTCATGTAAATAAAAGCCATAGAAATATTAGGCGAGGGGAGAGGGTTTTGAATGTCAACAATGTATTTTTTTATTAAATTTATATCAGTCTGCGTATGCGAAAGGGGAGGGGGTCCAAGAACTGTTTACTTAATTTGCGGGTAATACCTTTCTCAATTTCAAACAATAATATGTCCTTCTTTGTGCTCTTACTCAACACATCACATCCACCTTTGTAGATTTAAAGCGTTCCGATCCTACTTAATATTTATAAATTGGTTACGAAATTCAATTACACTTTGTGTCGACGGAATCCAAGAAAATTTACTCAAAAACTTATCCACCACCTCATAAACGAAAGATTTATGTATTTATTCAATACCGTAAGACGGTCTTAAGTTTATCACTGGGAGTGCGTGATCATTGATATTTCTCAGTTTATGTTTTATTTATTTTTTTTTTGTTTTAGAATGCGAGAATGTATTCTGTTATAGTTTGTTAGTTAGTTTTGGTTTAGTATACAGACTTTATTGTTTTATTGCATCACTCACAATACATGTACTCTCCACTGCTCTACTTGACTCTGTTCTGCAGTAGTATTATTTAGCGGTGAACGGTAACCATTCGGTATTTATCCTATTTTGTTATAGTCACTTTAGTCCCCTGTCCTGATCATATTTTTCTCACAATTACGAGGGAGGATTGAAGCAGACTTTTCATGACAGCCAAATTATTATTGTATACAATTTGTTCGTTTACTGTAGGTGCCATGACTTTAACTTACCTTGAAAATAGCTTTTGGTTCTTAAGTAACTAACGGACAGCCGTAATATACTTAGGCGGTCGAGTTTACTCAAAATATTCTGTTCAAATGGAAGCAACGATGCCAGCAAGTCTAATTCTGCGTTAAGCCGCTCTCGATGCCGTTTGGAAGGGTTACTTTTTGTCATACCCTCTTTAGGAGGCGCCTTTAAGCTGAAAAGAAAAAAAAACATAGAATGTTTGGTTAGTGGTGTCTAACAAGTGAACTTTTTAACTATCCAATAAACATTGAAAGTTAAATTGAAACAGAAACAGGCTTATTAAGCTAAAACGTACATCAGCCACGATGTGTGTTTTATATTGTATGTTTGTTTAGTATGTTTAATTTATTAATAATTCACTGTTAAGCAGCTTTCCACGTTTAAACATGCATTAAATATTTTCCAAACGAACCTACGACGCTTAACTAAATCCTTTCTAAAAAAACTGATCGCCTGGGTTCAGTCTTGTAAGCGGTCACTGTAGTCGACGCATTTTCTGTGATAATCAACTGCCTTTGCTTCTGACACTTGCAAAACAAGCTATCAAATTACAGTACCAAACTAAAATGTCATACGACACTGTCGCCGAAGATCGTTACGAATGTATGTTTTTAGTTTTTCTTATAATAAGAGCTGCCGATGTTATGCTTGTGTGAATTCTGAAAACAGCAAGCAATGGTGTCCTAGTAATGACATTTCTGATCAGAAATGGTTTAATTTACACTAAATTGAAGAATTAGAACGAAATCACACATGTCATATGATAGTTATTTAATAATTTACTTTTTGCCGTTTGTGATGTGTAAGAGATACGACGGTAGAGCATGAGAGTACGGATACGAAAAGATTGTCGCGCACGACAACAAAGCGAGTGTAGTTAAAAACGTCAACTGTTTCAACCCCTGCCTGGGTTAAATTTGACCACGAAATTCAAATTACCGTATCTCTGAGATGTTTCCATGTATTTTAGAAATTTTAAATGTTTTGCAAAGGAAATTCAGTGCACTTTAAGTTAAAATTATTCATGAATTGTGGGCAGATATTTCGTGACGATCGGTCATTGTAAAAATGTGCCCATAAAATGAAATGTTACGATGTTTATACTACGAGATCATCACCATTTAGAATATTACTTCCGTCAGCAAAGATTTTCAGAAATACAAGATCCCATTTTATTTGATAGTTTTTATTTAAAGTGCATAGTGTATAAGTTTACTTCGCAAAACATTTGAAATTTCAAAAATCAATTAAAGTATTGCTGAGCTACGGGGATTTGCAGAGTACAGACAACATAAGTTTTTCGAGAAAATTGATGCAAGAGATAATATTTCAAGTATATTTAGAAATAGATTTCATCTAGTATTACAGATTCCAAGAGGACACATCTAATCACGAATGAGTTAGACAAATACATTGCCAAATAAAAAAGTTCTAGCCTGTCAAAGTGCCTTGAGGTGAAATCGACCCCAATGTACAGACTAAGGGTTAAGAACTCCAAAGACCGAGCGACAGACTTGTAGTTAGGGGTTTCATCCGATATATTTGGTATTTTTTATCGCATCATCCAAATATGATTAGAAGTCAGTGAGATTGATATATAAAGTAAGCTATGTCAATAGGGTCTGTTTTGCTTTGAATTGACCTCACGGACCTACATACTGACCTGACCTTATGTCGGTATTTTCGGTTTTCTGGTCGGTATTGGAGTTAGTGAACTTCCAAATTCGTCATGACTTAGCTTACCTGTTTGTATCACTCCCATTCGGTTTATTTTTATTTTTCCACAAACATTTCGGCTGATGCAAATTTGATATGATGAAAAACGATAAAACGACACATAAATTTAAAGAAAAGTCGATTTCGAGACGACAAGTGTTGAAAAAATTGAATTTTACAACACGTTGCATACCAAATTTTTTGCACTCATAAAGAATAACGAACAGTAGAACTTTTCGGCACTGGATGCTTTACGACGCTGTTATTTAAGTTATGAAAAGTAGGCCATTATGGTATTCAAAACAGTGTCGTAAAGAGACACTTTTCAGTTATGAGTGCTAAAAAATACTTTTCAAATGTATAGGGTAGAGCGCTACTTCGTCGTAACCGCCCATTTCCGTTCTATCGATCAGAAAAGATCAATAATATCAATGATTTCACCGTGCACAAATCAATAATAGGTTTGTTCCGATGCGTTAGTTCATTAACTACAACATAAATCCTGTTAGAGCGCATTGTACAAATATTTACGCTCATTGTTCTCAAAACAAAAGAAGCGCTCCTAGCGAATCCCCTTTTTCTACGTTTATCCGTAGGACGAAGAAAATCTAATGGCGTTTCAATGCGTTAGGACGGAATTGAAACTCGTAGAACGAATTTACAAAAATGGTGAGTTGACAACCGGGAAGGAGCGGAATACCTAGCCCTGGTCCTCACAAGTTCTTACTTCACGCCTCCTCGAGTCATATGATAACAAAAGACTACCAGCGGAAACATGGACACAGCTGGGTGGCGTAGCCTGGGCAATGTTGCCAGTCCGGCAATAGCAAAGTGAAGAGGTGCACGAACACTGGCGCGGTAACCATAGTACGGTGATAGAGGAAATGCTTCACCAAACCCGAGCGTCTGTTCACCATGGAGGTGCGGCTCAAAACGGCGTCTGTTCTCCATGTTAGGAGCGGCTGATCACCGTCCTAGTGCCAGCGACGAGAAAGAAGCGTTCTATGCGCAGCTGGAGCAGGTGTACGACGCCTGTCGCAACGGGACGTCAAAATCGTCATTGGCGACATGAACGCTCAGGTAGGACGGGAGGCAATGTATAGACCGGCAATCGGACCAAACAGCCTGCATGCCGTATCGAACGACAACGGCCAACGATACGTGAACTTTGCAGCCTCTCGGGGTATGGTAGTTCAAAGTACCTTTTTCCCCCGCAAGGATATCCACAAAGCCACCTGGAGATCACCTGACCAACACACAGAAAACCTAATCGATCACGTTCTAATCGACGGGAAATTCTTCTCCGACATTATCAACGTCCGCACGTACCGCAGTGCGAACATAGATTCGGACCACTACCTAGTTACAGTATGCATGCGCTCAAAACTCTCGACGGTGCATAACATACGTCGAAGTCGAACACCGCGACCCAACATTGAGCAACTACGGGACGCCGGAGTTGCCCAGGACTACGCGCAGCAGCTGGAAGTTGCACTACCCACGGAAGAGCAGCTTGGCGCAGCTTCTCTTGAAGATGGCTGGAGGGACATCCGTTCAGCCATAGGTAGTACTGCTGCAGCGGCACTAGGTGCTGCAATCCCGGACCGAAGAGATGACTGGTTTGACGGCGAATGCAAACTGTTAGTAGAGGAGAAGAATGCAGCACGGGCGAGAATGCTGCAACACGGAGCTCTGTCCGTAAAGGCGCAGCTACAAAGCAAGACCATGCTGGAGGTGGCTGGGTTCGATTCCCGGTCCGGTCCAGGAATCTTTCAAGTTGGAAAATTTCACGACTTCCTTAGGCATAGAGTATGATTGTACTTGCCACACCATTATACTAATGAAAAAATGGTACAGGCATCGAAAGCTCTCAATCAATAACTGTGGAAGTGCAGCTTAGAACACTAAGTTGAGAGCACGTAATAAACTAATATGTGATAAGCAATAAGCTTGAAATCCGATGAAGAAGAAGACTGCGGAGTCAATCGATTTTATTTTGCAAACCAACTGCTAGAACTGCTAGAAAATTTTCTCAAGTATCGAATTGCTTTGCTCTTCTTTTGTTGAATTCCGTCAGGAATGCTCAAGCCCCCATGACTCTAATAAAGTTTGTTTACATTCTTGTTTTGCCAGAGTATGTTTTATTGGAATTGTAACCCAGCTGCCTCAATAATATGTTACGATGAGTCAATTGAGATGACAATTCATGACGATGGATTAGAAGAAGAGTAACTACATTAGTGGATTCTGAATGTTTGGCTTCCAGTTGACAAGCATATTGAGTCAGTCCGCAGTACTAAGGTTATAACATGTTATGAGGAAATCTTGATGACATTTTTCTTGTTGATAATTATTATAATTAGCAGTCTGGACAAGGCATTAGATAAATAGTCTAGCTCACAACTTTGCACGGGAAAGTGGCGGGCACCATCATCATCATCAACAACAAATAGATATTGTCTACAACTTTAATAAGAAAAATAAAATTTGTTATTCACTTTTTAGACAAACGCCGTAACGTCATCAGATAAGGATTTTTTGACAAAAAAAATCCCAATAATAAAATTGTCTTCTTCATTCTTCTGTTTTGTTGTTTTGAAACACAATTTCTTTTGACACAGAAAAAACCGCTACATCGTCAGCTTATTTTCTTTAACACTCCGAACACGATGCCTGCGGCAAAATGTGTAACGGAAAACTTGTAATGTTTGAAAAATCATAGCTCATAGCGTATGACGTATCTACGAATTTCAAAGCTATTGGTGCTACTTGACTGTAAAGATTTATTCGGTATCAATAGGTTCCAAATCTCATTGCTGAGTAATGATTTTTCAAACATTGTCAATTTGCCGTTACACATTTTACCGGAGGCATCGTGTTTGGAGTGTTAAAAATTAAATTTCCAGGGGCAAAACATGGTCGACCACATGTTTGCATCACAAACGATATTGTACTGCCTATAATTGCATATCAATATATATGGAAAAAGTAGAAGTTGAAAAAATGTTAGTCGACGTTACGAAGTGTAAGTATCATGTAAATATTCGAAAAATCATAGTAAGTATTTTATTATTTTTTTAAGTTAAAATCAGTTGCATTGAGGCTTGCATGTTCTAGACGATTGAATTTCAGGATGAGACTGATATGCGGTTACTTTGCTTGTTTTGACAAACTGACGTGATGTTTTTTTTTACATTTTTCATGATCAAAGTCCGTAGTTTTATCATATAATATGAAAAAAATGCCAATGGATAATGAATAGCGATGTTATCTCAAAATTGACGAAATGTTAAATCCACTACCGAGAAGACGGGGTATCAAAAGCTGTATTTTTTGACAGATTCGCAAAAAATACACATAACTACATACAATATAAAAACAAGCGTACATATTTTTACAATTTACGTGAATAATATCAAATTTATTGTCGAGTGCGCGGAGTTATAACCCGAGCAG